CGTCTTCAGTACGGTGCAGCCAAGTTAGAGAAGGAGCATGCTAACTTGGGAAAGGATCACTACAGGAGCAATGCGACCAATTTGTAGCATTAGAGTTAAAAATAACCTGATGTTTTCCAGGGCAACAACTAACAGTAACCACGGGGGAAGCTACAGCTACCTGGGAAATGAATGCCAAACGTTGAATCGTTTAAAACAAAAGCAAAATGTTAATGCGAGTGAATAATAAAAGTAAAATGTACTGGCATGTCTCGCAATAACTTTTTCCTTTTGTTTTAAACGTTTTAACGTTTGGCATTTCTTTCCCCAGGTAGCTGTAGCTTACTCCGTGGTTACTGTTAGTTGTTGCCCTGGAAACCGTCAGGGACTTTTAACTCCAATGCTAAAATATGGTCGCATTGCTCCTGTAGTGATCCTTTCTCAAGTTAATATGCTCCTTTTCTAACTTGGCTGCACCGTACTGAAGACGACCAATAGTCAGAATTACGTATATACGGTTGTCTTATATCTTATCATCATCATCATCATCCAGCCGAATTTTCACATCCATTGTTGGATATAGGCCTCCTCCAAACGTCTCCAGTTCTCTCTATCTCTAGCTGCTGCAATCCAGTTTGTTTCTATTCTCTTTAGGTCGTCGGTCCATCGGGTGGGTGGTCTGCCTCGACTTCGCTTGTCGGCTCTTGGTCTCCACTCCAATAATCTCTTCGTCCATCTTCCGTCTTCCATTCTAGCAGCATGTCCAGCCCACCTCCACTTTTGTTTATTGATTCGCAGTATAATATCGTCTACGCCAGTTCGTCGGCGTATCTCCTCATTTCTTACGCGATCTTTCAAGGTCAGGCCCAGCATTGATCTCTCCATTCGCCTTTGTGTTACCCTCAGTTTTTCGGCAGTAGCTTTCGTTAAAGTCAAGGTCTCTGCTCCGTAGGTCAAGACTGGTAAGATGCATTGGTTAAATGCCTTCCTTTTTAGGTGAATTGGGATATTTGTTTTAAAAATGTCTCTCATCCGTCCATATGCCGCCCATCCCAACGTGATTCGTCTATTTAGCTTAGTCTTATATCTTATTTATATATTATATATATATTATATATATATATATATATAGATATATATATATATAATATATATATATATATTATATATATAATATATATATATATATATATATATAGTTTGAATTTAGTTCTTGAACCTTAATATATATTTTTTAGTGGATTCTCTTGGGCTTAGGTTCATAAAAAAAAATTAGTTTGATACTAAGACATTTTTATATATTTTTTCCGACGTTTCGGCAGGAAATCCATGCCTTTTTCAAGAATATATATTGACTAAAAAAAACATTTTATGACAGGCATAATACGGTTGAAAAAATAAACTTTTGACTTACCAAGCATGTAAATATTAGGTATTAACAATTAGACGTCACAATTAAAATAATATTAAAAAATAGGACATACCCACTAAGTCATTACAAGTAAAATGTATTTTAAATCTAATGTGTTATTTATTGATGTTAGTTTATCATTTAAACAATCAGTTATTTTAACATCATAGGCGTTCTGAGATTGACTTTTTATGTGTTTTTAAATTAAGTTAAAATATATTTTGTTCAAATTCAATCAAATTCAATTCAATCAAAAAGATGTCAAAAATTTGATTAAGTAAAATGTAAAATGATTTTACTTGTAGTGGCTTAGTGGTTATGTCCTATGTTTTAATATTATTTTAATTGTGACGTCTAATTGTTAATACTAATATTTACATGCTTGTCAATATATATTCTTGAAAAAGGCATGGATTTCCTGCTGAATCGTCGGAAAAAATATATAAAAATGTCTTAGTATCAAACTAAATTTTTTTTATGAACCTAAGCCCAAGAGAATCCACTAATATATATATATATATATATATATATATATATATATATATATATTATATATATATATATATATATATATAGTAAACTCTTAAATATTGGGGAAATCTGCAAGAAAGACTCTAATGAGTATCAATTGTTTCGCCGAACGTTTTCGCCAAAGAGAATTAATTTGGCTTCTTCCAACTTCTTTAACCTGTCTGAACAATAAGTTTCCTCGAGATCTACAAACTAGTCCTAGTCTTCCGTGGCGGCAATGACCTCCTGTTCGAGTCCCTTTTTCAAGTTTAAAAACAAAACTGAGTTACACGGGGCCAAATCTAGAGAATATGGTGGATGGGGCAACAGCTCGTAGCCCAATTCGACCCATTTCGCCATCGCAACGGCGGAGATATAAACGGGCCCATTGTAATGGTGGAAGAAACTTTTTCTTTGTTAAATGGCGTCGTTTGTTTGCAATTCGGCGTCAAATCAGCCCGATAATTCGGCGAAGTAAGCTCTGTGACAGTACAGGTAGTCGACGTAGACCACTCCTTGTGGGTTCCCCCAAAAAGTGACTATTACCTTTCAGGCCGATAGAACAGTCTCCACCTCATGCGGAGAACGTTGGCCGGGTGCTGCCACTGTTTCGACTGTTTCGTGGTCCCTAGTCTGTTTCAATCAAATCATGTTTCGTCAATGGTTAGGAAAATATACACAATAACTGAATAATTAGGAAAATAAATTTCTCATGGCCAAAATTTCAGCCAGAATATTAATTACTTGGTCCTTTGAGAGGCCACTGTCTAAGCTATCTCGCACACCTTCAGTCGGCGATCTACCAATATGAGATCATGGATTTTTGTCACGTTATCCTTCGTAGTAGCCCATTTCTGGGCACCTGGGCGTAGCTCATCAAAACTCGACGTGCGACTACTTTGAAACTTGGTTAAACCAATTTTTAAGGAGTTGCCATTGAAGGAAAAGAGTCACTGTTCACAACATCCAAGCGCCCTTTGATTTTTATGAGCGATTTCGCTTGCAAAAGCAATAATCGAATTACTGACCGGTATTGCACTTTTTCCATTTTTCTAAAATCCGCGGAGACGCCCGTGTGAATTAAAATAATTTTTGTGTTTAGAAAAGTGGTAGCTAGTAACAATTCCATGTATGCAGAATGATAGCTGCGCAGAATTTAATGTTGACAGCATGTGTAAGTACCAGCAAATTATTATTGCATCGGAAGAAGGTTAGGCTAGCAGAATTTAGTATCCAAAGGAGATAAGAGTTTTGGTTAACGTGAGATCAAGATTAAGTTTTTGGAACCGATTCCAAGAAGGGAGTTTAGATAGGGAATTAACAAGAGAGGATCCGGATCAATTTGAGAATTGAAAGAAAATGGAAGTTAATTGTTTTATTCAAATTTGAGAACAATATTACAGAGATTTAAAATTTTGAAACGAAACAGAAAACAATTAAATTTATAAAGTTGTTTGTTTTTATAAGTTATGTAAAGTAGTATAGATCATTTAAATAATTGATGGATTCGACCGTAACTTGATGGAAATTCATTTTATGTAAAAATAAAACACTAAAAACTTTGTTTTCAAACTTCCACAAAATTTATTTTAGCCTCTTATCACTACAGCTGTTTCGGCTGCTTGCCTCTCTCAAGTGATCTATTTTTGGCATGCGTTTACACTTTATAGTCTCTAATGAAATATGTTGAGGAGGGGAGAACTGTTTGTCTTAAGTTGGTCATTCAGAATTATATCTGTGTTTTTGAATTTATTGATTTCCATAGATTCTAACAAGGATAGCTTAAGGCCTTTATTTTGAATGTGAAGAATTTTAAATTCATCATTAAAAGAATGATTGTGATCTAGAAGGTGAAGTGCGTATGTAGAATCTGTTTTTCTATTATGGAAAGCCTTTTATGTTCTGCTATTCGTTTATTAAAGTTTCTACCAGTTTGACCAATGTAAGTTTTTGGGCAGTCGCCACATTTAAGTTTGTACACACCACTATGTAAGTGTTTTTTATTTTGGCTCTTGTTGTTTTTGATATATTTGCCTAGGTTGTTATTTGTTAGGGAAGCTGGTGTTATTCCTTTCTTTTTTATGTGTTTGGCTATTTTTGTTGATATTTTGCCTGTATATGTAATCGAGCAGAAGGTACTGGGTTTTTCTCTGGTAGTGGAAATAATTTCAGGGCTTTCTTGTGTAGTTTTTGATTTAACATTTTATTAATTGTTTGTTCGTTGTATCCGTTGTTTACTGCTATTTGCTTGATGATATTTAATTCTGTCTCAAAGATGTATTTTGACATCGGAATTTCTGCTATGTCTATGTAACATACTATGATAGGCTGCCAGTTTATGTTGTGTTAGATGGGATCATAAATTGTTTATAGTCGTGTCAGTATGGGTAGGATTATGAAATATGCAGAAGTCATGTTTGTTTTTAAGTCTGATAATTTTTAAATCTAAAAAATTCATGGATTGATTTTGTTCTGTTTCTATTGTAAATTCAATATGACTATGAAGTGAATTAATATACGATAAAAATTGATCGAGTTGCCTGTTAGTTCCTTTGAAACATACCAGTACGTCGTCTACGTATCTATGGAAATCAACAAATTAAAAAACACAGATATAATCCTGAATGATTAACTTGAGACAAACAGTTCCCCCCTCCTCAACCTATTTCATTAGAGACTATAAAAGGTGTAAACGCATGCCAAAAATAGATCACTTGAGAAAGGCACTCAGCTGAAACAGCTCTAGTGATAAGATGTTAAAATAAATTTTGTGGAAGTTTGAAAACAAAGTTTTCAGTGTTTTATTTTTACATAGATCATTTAGTTAAGCGAATTATTTTTTTGGCTGTGTAGTTTTTAATCGTCAGTATAGGGATGGAGCGATATTTATATTTATTTTGTTTTATATGTGTAATAAAATTTTTCAAAGTATTTTTGTCAATATATTCTAACGGTATCAAACATTTTTTGATTATATCATATTTGGGAATATATATATATATATATATATAATATATATATATATATATATATATATATATAATATATATATATATATATATATATATATATATATATATATATGTATAGCTATACTCACTTCGTCAATAAACTCCCCCACGTCAAGAATTACGGTAGATGCTGTTTCAAGTAAATCTTCTGCTGGAGGTTTTCCGGTAACATTAAGCACTATTGTCGTTATTACATATTTGACAATATTATCATGGACACTTCTCTCCAATTGCTTATATTGATCTTCATCAGTTTCAGTTTTCCTTACGATAATATTTCGTTGCATTGATTTTCTTTTATTTTTCGTCGGACTGAAAATATATGGTGTTTAACTTTTTGTTCTACATATGTTTATTATTAGAGTACTATTTTCTAATTAATTTATAAAATTTTACCTAGGTAATGGACTCGTTTTAGAAAGTTGTCCCACATAAAGTACATTTTCAGATCCATTAAAAACATTGGAAGCCACATCAACTCCCATAAAAACGTCCATTAGTAAATAGTTTTTTATTAATGTTTCTGTCCTTGGCCAATCAAATACAAAATTTTTATCATTGGGATCCGTCAGATAAGTAGGAATAGTTGGTAAATTTAATTTTTCCAAAATAGGGTAGATGGTTGTCGTTTCAAGTTCGTCTAAAGTATCTGCAACAAAAAATACCAATACTGTAACTACTAGTATAATCGAAACATACGACTCATACAACTACCTTGGAATTATAATTACTTAAGATTGATCTACTGAGATCAAAATTAGGAAACGAATTAAATACGGTAGCCAGGTGACAAAACAAATAAATTGCATACTGAGAACACACAAATTAGACCAGATACAAAAATCAGAATCTACAAGACCATAATCAAGAGCATCACAACTTATGGACTAAGGTCTGAAAAATGACAAAATGTTTGTTAATGGAATTTGGCGCTACAGCCCAAATCGAGTCATGGTCTCCTCCAAACTATGCCTTTAACCTTGCCAGTCCCACGTCAATGTTCTCCAGGTTCTTACATCTACCAAATTTTGCGCGTCCTCTGCAACTTCATCCTCCCACCTTTTCCGTGGACTTCGTTTTGGTCTTGCGCCCTGCAGTTTAATATCCAAAACTCTTTTTGGCAATCTTTCAGTCTCCATTTTCACAATATTACCAGCCCATCGAACTCTCTGAAGTTTAACGAATTCTGAGATTGGTGCCTCTTTGAACAGTTAATAAAGTTTATAGTTGTACCTGGCTCTCCATACACAATTTTCGTTAATCAGTTCAAATATCTTTCTTGGGACTTTTCTTTTAAGAACTTTCAGCTTTCGTTTTGTGCATTCTGTTATCACCCATGTATCGACTGTAAAATACTGTTGTTCTGATGTTTTTTAGAAAATAGTTTTGTAGACCCTGATTTTCGATCTCCAGAGTTTGTTTTTGGAGCGGGACACATTGGCGAGTGAAAAGTAAGCTTTGTTTCCGTTTATTATTCTTCTTTGAATTTCTTGTTCTTTTGTTCCATCTATGTTTAATGCAACTCCAGATATGTGAAACTTGCAACAGTTTCAATATCGTCCTCTAATTCAACTGTGCACCTGTTTCCTTTAGCTCTTGCCTGTGTTAGTTTTGTTGTCTTTCGAATAGATTCTAGTCCGGTCTCTTCTGTCCCTGTTTTTAATTGTGAATATATCTCTTCTGTTGTGCAACACATGATTCCAATATCATCGGCATAGGCGCCAAAGACGTATTCAAGAGTCAAGTTGAATAGTGTCGGTGCAAGTCCGTCTCCTTGTTTTAATCCTTTGACTATTGAAAAGTTCCCAGTGAGCTCATTTTGTACTTGACAGTTGCTGTTGACGAGTCTAGTACACCCGTATTCGGGAATATTTCATCATAGTTACAACTAAAGAGAAACGAAAGAAAAACTCCCTCAATAGTTAGAGTTAAATTAAGTTAACCTTTAATCAATTCTCTGATATTTTAATTAGAAGCATAAATGTTAGGGTAGTAGCTGAGTCAAACTGTAACAATATTAGTGTTTATTATTTTTTTTTGCAATACATCAAGGCTCGTGTATACGAGTACAAGCACCGAATTCTGGACGATTGGATTCTGTAGTTAAATGAACGATATTGAGAGAGTCTACGCAAACTTACGCAAAGAACGCCTCCAGCAATGCATCGTCAAAAACGGTCACACAAGAATGATATGACTTTCCATACTTAATTGGAATAAATACTATTTTATTGTAAAGCCGAGTCCGACAACAAATTTGCTTTTTCAGTAAAATGGCGTATTTCGTGATTTTTAAAAAACCATCCATTTTTTTATAGCGGACGCTGTATAGTGCGTACCGGTCAATATAATAAATTAGACTACAAATAAAAGTGGACGTATTCAACATAACGATTGGACACATCCAATCGTATTTTTTGTTACGTATTTTTTCTCAATTAAAACCATTTTAAATATGGTATATCATGTAGCAGTGGCCGATAACAATTTTCTTATTTTAATTCTGTTTTTTTAAGTTTTCAGAAAACAGTCGAGACATTGTTCATATACGATGTCCTATGTCAATCTTTAACTTTTTTTGGGAAATAATATGTGTGTTCAGATTTATTGTAAAAAATGTTCTTAATTAAGGAAAATTATTTGATTACAGAAATGCGATATACCAGGTTTAAGAATTAATAACTAAAACTTTGTTTGTTGATAATACAAAAACCAAAAAAAAGAAACTTAATGTTAATATAGAAAATTTGCAATTATACGGTTAAGGTACTGTCGAACATTGATTTGGTAAAGAGCAGTGTTCCATCTTGCTTAAACCATATCGTATAAGCTAGAATCTGTGGATATTACAGGATCAGAATATAAGTTCATCAAAAATTGCACATTCTTTTGTAGCAGTGGTAAATACTTATCTTCAATCAAATTGTCAGCAATGAACATTGATCTATATGATCTACAATTCCTGTCCAAATATTAGTCTTTTTAAGGTATTGTAACGTTCTTAGGTTATCAGTGTGGATTTTTCCTAAACCAATATCGACAATTTTGACTATTTTGAATAACCCAAAGTACAAAAGTACTCTTACTTCATATGAAGTAAGAGTACTTTTTATATATTTCCTGATAATACTCATGATTTTATTTTATTTATTGTCGAACCGTTACATACTGCAACCTAGTAGACCAAACTTCACAGTGACAGCGTTCTATTTTACTGTAATGCCTTGATATTTCATATATAGAATAGAACAAAGCAGGTTGTTAATAAAATATACTTCCAGCTTGTTGTTGGCTTGTTTGTTATCCAGATGTAAGCAGGCAACATCCGTTTTATTCATATTTGTAATAAGCCTCCAGTGACTGAAGTATTTACCGATAACTACCAATTCTTCTGCAGTATGTTGCTTGCGGCTTCTGTTGTGTTATAGTGGAAGGCTAGTGCTAAGTCATCAGCAGGCGCACATTTCTTTGCCATCGTTGGAGAGATGTCAGATATATACAAATTAAAGAGAATTGGGGCAAGCACTGATCGTTGAGGGAGCCCATTTTGCAATTTCCTTAATCTGATATTTTTACTACCGAGTATTATATGAAAAGACCTATTGCACAGCCACAGCCATTTTTTGGTAGGTTTAGCAACTGGATAATTGATATAGTAATGAGAAATTTAAAGATAAGACCGTCCCTACATACGTCCCTTATAATTAGTAGTTAAATCAACGCAAGGTATCGTAGTTTTTAAACGTCGTTGGAAACCAGCTTGTATATGTATGATAAGACTGAGTCTTTCGTGAGTAGCCCCTTGATTTTTTCAACGAAAATATGCTGTTTTCAACTATTAATAGCTCAAACAGTATTGACTTTCTAAAAAAAACTCTAGAAAACAAAAGTTGGCAAAAAAATACGTCCCCGGGGTAAAAGCACACTTCGGCGTTATATAACTTTTGTTTTTGTAGCACTTTCCCGTTAACTCATCAAATTTCAAGTGAATCGGTTCATTTTTTTACTTCAGTCGGACAAAATTGGGAGGTAAATAGTCCAAGTGACTGGAGTGTCTGGATACTAAAAAAGAAAGAAAAACTTATTTCAGCATTCCTTTTTACCGTTGTTAAATTAAGAATTAATAATAAAATTTGTTTGGCTATACGACAGTAGTTCTTAGTATCGACATTAATATTTGTCAGAGTTGTAGTCATTTGAATTACATTAGGGTTACACCCGAAAATGGTTCATTTAACATAAATGCACAAAATAACAATTTTTCAGATGATTGGTTATGGAGATAGCACACGGACATAAGAGGAAGTTGCTTTGTTATTTCATTAAAAATTTACAAATTTGCCATCTCCATTCGATGGTATAATAAGTATAATAGAAAAACAATTTTCAATGCAATAAGTACACTACATTATCAATGCAATAAGTGGTGATACCAAATTGGATATAATGCTGGAGTTTGAAGAAAATCCACAAAATTCTAATCGAAAAGCTGCCGCAATATTCACTTGGACGTCCATTACTCGAACCCTAAGTAAAATAAACCCCCGTAACTGCTCAAAGCAGAACTTGAAAAGGCAGATAACAAATGTCAACTAAGAAGTGATACTTGAATTAAGCCAGGAAGAAATAGAAAGAGCAGTAAAAGAAATAAAAAGGAATAAAGCTCCTGGAAGCGATGGAATTTTAGCAGAAATGCTGAAGGAAGGCGGAGAAGAAGTCATCACATATCTAAAAATATTATTTAATAAATGTCTATTCTAAGGCAATATACCCGAATAATGGAATACTGCTAAAACAATACTAATAGGTACACAAAAAGGGAGACACCACAGACCTGAAAAATTATCGACCAATTTTACTTCTTTCACAACTTTACAAAACCTGTACAAAGATTATTACAAACAGGTTAACAATTACATTTGACGGATATCAGCCAGTAGAACAAGCTGGATTTAGACAAGGGTACAGCATCTGTGGCCATCTATCCACTTTAAAAATCCTAATAGAAAAGACTAACGAATACAATCTCCCATTATGTCTGGTTTTTATAGATTATGAAAAAGCTTTTGATAGCGTAGAACTGTGGGCAATAGAAGAAGCATTAGTCAACAACCGGATCGACGCCAGATACAGAATACTAATACATAATATTTACGAACAAGCTGAAATAATAGTAACATTGGGTAATGGAATCGAAACAAGACCAGTAAAAATCAACCGAGGAGTAAGAGAAGGAGACACAATATCTCCAAATTATTTACAGCTGCCCTATAAATAGACTGGGAAAATATGGGAATTCCTATTAACGGAAGATACTTGAACCATCTTAGATACGCAGATGATGTAGTACTAATAGCCGACACGTGGAATACACTGAATACGATTATTGAGGAGCTACACACATAATCCCTAAAGAAGGACTGAAAATGAATTTCAGCAAAACTAAACTAATGCCAAACAAAGATGACAAACCTATGATAAACATCGAAGGGACAGAGATAGAACACGTAGATGAATATACATATCTGGGTCAAAATTCAAGGTAAGCAAAGAAAATCAGACTACCGAAATAAGCAGACGTGTAAAAATGGGATGGGCAGCGGAAGACTCTTATACGTACTTAAAAATAAAAATATACCTCAAAGACTGCGATCCAAAGTGTTTAATTCTATATCCTACCTGTACAGGAGTTACCGATGTAATTTCCCGAATTGCCACACTAAAATGGAACTGGGCCGGACACGTCGCCCAAATCAGTGATGAAAGGTGGACGAAGAGATTGCTTGAGTGGAGGCAATAGACAAAAGAAGAAGAGGAAGACCCCCTACACGATGGACTGACGATCTCAAGAACATGTCAAGAAATTGGATGAAAAGTGCTCAAGACAGAGCACAATGGACAAAAATAAGGGAGGCCTATGTCCATCAGTGGACGCAAAGGGCTGGGTGATGATGATGATGATCCTACCTGTGCTTACATATGAAGCACAAACATGGACATTCAATAAAATAAACATCTAGAAGATCAGAAAAGCTCAGAGAGCTATGGAACGACAGATGCTGGGTATCTCACTCAAAGACCATAAAAGCAATGAAGACATTCGTTAAAAGAACAAATTAAAAGATGCTGTCGAACATTCAGCTAAACTGAAATGGAAATGGGCTGGACAAAACTAACGTTTTACAGATGGCCGATGGAATAAAGAAATCGGGAATTGGCGGCCATATAAAGCCAAAAGACCACGAGGAAGACCGCAAATGCGATGGAGCGACTATATTAAAAGAACTGCAGGGCCAATATGGAAACGTCTTACAAACAACAGGGATGAATGGAGAAAATTAGGAGAGCCCAATATTCGGCAGTCCTAATAGAGTTAAGGGCTTAAAAAAAAGGAAAATAAAATGCATCCCTATAAAAGGATACCAACTCAGGAGCCCGTGAAAAACAATTTTGATAGGAGGACCTATTTTTGTCAAAAAAATGGTGATTAAACTAGATAACAATATGATAAAATTACAAATGTTTTGTTTTCTGGTGAATACACATTTACACTTAACGGTTTTGTTAATAGTCAAAATTGTCGATATTGGTTTAGGAAAAATCCACACTGGATAACCTAAGAACGTTACAATACCTTGAAAAGACTAATATTTGGACAGGAATTGTAGATCATATTATAGATCAATTTTCATTGCTGACAATTTGATTGAAAATAAGTATTTACCACTGCTACAAAAGAATGTGCAATTTTTGATGAACTTATATTCTGATCCTGCAATATCCACAGATTCTAGCTTATACGATGTGGTTTTAGCAAGATGGATCACTGCTCTTTACCAAATCAATGTTCGACAGTACCTTAACCGTATAATTGCAAATCGGTGAATAGAGAGGCAAAAACCGATGGAATAGACAGCACGATCCCTTGATTTACCGTCATTAGATTTCTTTTTATGGAAATATGTCAAAAGTATTGTATACAAAGAAAAACCCCCTAACTTAGCTGGCTTTGAATAACACTTTCGATTAGCTTGGACACCTCTAAGATATTAAGCAAAGTTAGAAGAATTAGATTCTATTTACAATTAGAATGTTACCAGGACGTTCGCCCCGACCATGTTAACCATTTTCTATATTTACATTAAGTTTCTTTTTTTTTAGTATATATATATAATATATTATATATATATATATATATATATATATATATTAAAATAAAATTATCTAATCGTATTATCTTTAAACGAAACTTACCTACGTCCATACAAGATTTAAAAAAGTCTCTAGTCTTTTTTACAGCTTTTGGTACATTGGGATTGTCCGGTTCTTCGGATAAGGCATTTGCGGTTTCGATAATAATTTTTTCTTCTATGGTGGAAAAACTAGAAAAAGTATTCCACCATCCGTGATTCAGATGTTCTTCTGACCACTTGCCGCATGCGAATTCGTAAAAATTATCACAAGGATCTACGCTGTAATCTATTGAGGAAACATAACTTGATGCCGTCTTGATGCATTCGTTTGATGTACATATTTTGACTTTTGGTTTTGCATCTATAAAAGGGCAATATATCAAATATTAGTTGTCAATATCAAGTAATATATTATTTTGTGCCACTATCTCGGGTGAAATAGCAAAACTGCAAAACCTATATTAATTCGTACTACAAGTGATTCATAGTGCAAAAGAAAAAAACAGTGCCTTAAAAAATAAAACTTTTTAAATAATAGAAAATCTCTTCTTTGCCTTTTGCAACAAACAAATTATCTTTTTGGACTAAATATTATATTATTTGTTTATCTTGGGTTAATGTTATGAAAATGTGACCGAAAGCGGAAGAATTAAACTGCTGCATAATTTTAATGCTCTAGATTCAAGTGACAAATAGAACTCCCATATCGCAGGTCTCATTTAGATCAAAATGATCGCACAAAGACATACTAGGTAGCCCAATTCCGAAACAGCGAAACATCACGATGATCTTTTGGAAATATGGTTAGGGTTTTAAGAGATGCTCAAATGCAAGAGATACCTGTAAGTTGAGTATATTCAAAGCGGGCTTATAATAAACGGCGTTGCACCACCTGATCTAAGAGGTAAGTACTCTAATCGGCCACATAAACTAAGCATTATTACTAACGATTCCATAATAATGCACTTGAAGTCATTTAAGGGCAGATAAAGCCATTATAGTAATAAAACGAAATCTAAAATTTACCTTCCTGAATGTAAAAAAAAATTAAGAATTATTTCAAGAAAAAAATCCACAGGTGAAGATTGCATATGACAGTTTAGGTACATGGGATATAAAGTTCTGATCATGGAATACCAAAAAAATGTTTCACTTCCACACATCAGCACAAACGATGTGTACTACAGAAGACGGTTGTCAATGTTTTCTTTTAATATTCATCTGCCTTCTATCGGTAAATCTATTTTCTACACTTATCCTAAGACCATAGCTAAAAAATGCTCAATCAAAGTTATATCTTGGATCATCATGGATCAGTTGGAAAAAAGTAAGTAACAAAAAAGTAACAAAAAAATAAAATTTGTTTAATTTACTAATGTTTGTATTTTGAGAACAAGCATGAGTATCAAGAATAACAAACTACGAAGAAGTATCATCTAGAATAATCACAGCCCAAATAGAACTAAAAGACAAGATAGGAATAATAAAAATATACGGACCAACAGAAGGAAATGAAGAAGAGATAATGATAGAATTCTACAACGAACTCCAAAACGCATTAGACAAATTAGGAGAGACAAGAGAAAAAATAATAATCTTAGGCGATTGGAATTCAAGAGTAGGTAAGGACATTAACAAGGGATTAGGATGCATTGGACAATATGGGGAAGACACATTAAATAGAAATGGAATTAAAATGCTGGAATTCTGCCAAACCAATGACCTGATAATAGGAAACACATTCAGTCAACAAACCATTAACGACAAATATACATTTGTGGCTGAAGAGAGAAATGCGAAAAGCTTAATCGACTATATAGTCTATACGAGAAACCTAGAACAAAATATAAAAAACATCTTAACGGAAAAGGAACCGGAACTGTCTACACAACACAGAATGGTCACTGCAAAACTGGAGGATGAAAAAATGGGGGAAGTGGAAAGAAAAGAGTATAAGAAAGTAAATGCAAACAAACTAAAGATAGAAAGTGTGCGAGAATTGTATACGGAGGAAACTAACAAAAGACTGAGACAAATAGAGTGCCAAAAAAACCATGGACAATGGAAGAAAGATGAAATACTTACAATGAAGTATTAAAGACAACAGCAGCTGAAGTGTGTGGAATTAAAAAATATAATAAACAGAGACGATTTGTAAAAAAGACAGTCACACAAGCAAAAGCAAAAACATGGAAAGAATTTGGAGAAGAACTTCAGGAAGAATATATAAAAAATAAAAGAAACTTTTGGACGACAATACGACACATAAGGTAAGGAGGACGAAAGTAAATAAACGCAGTAAGGGATACTTCAAACCAAATACAAATAAGCCCAGAACAAGTAGCTAGCGTATGGAAAGAATATTATGAGAAAAAATTTGATACCGAAGTGATAAATGAAGACAATACAAACAATGAAGGCGAAGAAAACACAAAGCTAGAGCAAATAAGTAGAGAAGAAGTAATAGAAGGATTATCAAATATAAAAATAGGCAAGGCAGGTAGATGGTAAAATACATGGGAGAAGAAGGAATAAACTGGCTATGGAAAATATATAAAGAGGCGTGGGAAAAACAAACAATCCCTAAAGACTGACAGAAGAATATCATCGTACCAATATACAAAAAAGGAGAACATGTAAACTGCGACAACTATAGAGCAATATGTCTGTCATCGGTATGCTTTAAAATATATACGAAAATAATAGAGAAGAGACTGTGACTATGAAATTTTAAGACTTATAATACAGGGAAATATTCAAGGAAGAACATCTAGCGGCCGAAAGTAGAATTTTTGGTACCTCCGTAGGAAAGACGGCAGTCTAAGAAGAAGAAGTGACATAAAACGTGACATAATATGTGACATAAAACGTGTCATATTATGTCACGTTTTATGTCACATATTGTTAGGGGCAGTATGTCGATAGAGCACGATTATCTACTGCGTTATCGCGTTAATGCGGAACTGCATTATCTCGTACATGCCATAGAATACGTTTTGGAGACCAATAGAAGATGTTGAGTGCTTTATAAAAGAAAATACACGATACGTTTAAAAAAATACACAAAACAAGCTGAAGATGGATAAAGTCCAATCTAAGAAGCCGTGAGATATACGTAACGTTACTAGAGAAACACAGTAAATTCGAAAAAAAGCCTAGAATAGCGCATCGAAGAAATATGTCAGTTTTAATAGGACTTGACATCCGAATCACACTAACTCACCAATCAATCACAGAATACAGAAAGCTAAATCATGGAGTATAAGCGAAATATGTAAATATATTAATTAATTCGTAACATATTCATATTTATTAATATTCAAATTATATATTCAACCCCCTCTGTGGCTCAGTGGTAAGAGCGCCTACCTTTGAACCTAAAGGTCGTGAGTTCGAATCTCACCTGGATGGAGAAATTTTTGTTTATTAAAAATTAATGAATAGGTTAGAATAATAATTTCTATCCTTGTACGATCGGTACTCACCGGAGGGACCGCAGACGTTCGGACACAATTAGCGTCTCTTAGCAAAGACAATGACGTCGACTTTGCTAAGTATCAAGACAATTACTCTACACACACAACACACACACAGACCACACTAGGTACCTGACTGTAAAAATTCACTGTACCATGCCAATGACCATTAGTTGTCGACGCATTAAACTCAATGAAAAAAAAATATATATATATATATATATATTACTTGGAAATATCGAAAAATGATGTATATTGTTAAAAATATCAGGCGTAAGAAGTTTACAATCTTTGACAGATACTTAATATTTGTGAAAATACAAGTGTAATTGATTCCATATTTTCGTAAAGCTAGGTATACAAAATTGATATTTTTGTATATTTTATAAATATTTTTATAACATAACATTTAGTCTCGAAAACTATCAATGCCATTCTAGTTTTAATTACTGAAATACTTAAAATTAAACAAATAAGAACTCTCTGGAAGATATTACCGTAAGTGGTAAAAATATCTTAGAGCTTTTTGTATCCGTTATAGTATGTAAAACCACTAATTTATTAATTTAAAAAGTAAATTAACTTACATAATACTATAAAAACTATCATTAAAATAAAGAAAATTATTGCTAGAACTAGAAAAAGTATTGACAGTCTCTTATAGAAATGTGGTCGTTTAAAACTGAAACAAAAAGAGATCATTAATATTATTACAAATCTGTTATACAATCTGTAGTATATCATGTGAGGGCTTAGGTTGGAAAGCTCAAATTATATGTAAGTATATATAAGTATATATATATATATATATATATATATATATATATATATATATATACTATATATATATATAGTTATATATATATATATATATATATATATATATTTATATATATATACTATATATATATATATATTATATATATATATATATATATATATAAGTTTATATATATATATATACACAATATATAGGTCGGTTGGGAACCGTAAAGTATATTTACTAATAGATAAAATATAAACAAAATCGCAGGAATATGACTTCTTTTAAAATATGTTTTCATTTATTTTCAATATCCGTTTAAATAATACCATTACAACGATGGCAGAATGTAGAACCACCGAAAAAAACCTAATTAGAATAGTCGTCTGCGAAATCGAAATAACGGCAGATTATGATTTTATAGTGTATTTTTATGTATGAGAGAGTAATAACACAATAAATTATGTATGCAAATCCCTAAACTGTTGATACGGGTGACTCAATGAAAAACAGATATTTGTCAACAAGTTTACAGAAGTATATAGGAAAACAATTTTTAAATTGAGTATGACCACCAGGTATAAAGGTTGGAGCAAGAAATAGAATACAATAGTTTGTGAGGGTTACTAATCCCTAAATAAGGTTGCCAGTGTCGGAGTGATGGAGGTTAACAGTACTAATGAATTTGCAAGAAATGAAAAATGTTTATTTTATTGGTTATATATAACCAATAAAAGTTTAATAAGTACCTACCTATTTGCAAAATAAAGTTTAATTCTTTAGATAAAATAAAACGTTTTATATTATCTGAAATGAGTGCATTCCACGAAGTAAGGGTTTCAACAATCAAACATTTAATTCTTTTAATTCCAGGAATCTACGACAGTGATTGACTAGATAATTACCTTCTAAACTTATTCCACAGAAAATGTGATAGTGGGTTTTTCCATTTTGTAGGAAGGTCTAAGTGGCGTATTCAAAATTCGTAACAGTTCACTAAAAGTAGGTACTTCAGTTGCAAGGTGCAGTTTATTGTGTATACTAGTGTTATGGAAAATTTGGAAGTGCCGTGTAAACGCCGAAAAATTGGTCCTTTAACAGTTAATGAAAAAACATTAATATTTAATTGTTTTTAAATCATTTACAGACAAACGTTTATGTGAAAGTGTTGATGAGACCGTTGAGTTAGTTAGCAGTACACTTGGTGTTGGGAAATCTACGATTTACAGAGTTATTAAAGAAGAGAAATGTGGTAGTTTTCAAATGCCACGTAATGCTCCAGGGGAAACCAAAATTTCAAATAGAATATCATTTTAAAGAAGGACTTCGACGGAAAGTGCATGAATTCTTCTTTAGACAAGAATTTCCAACATTGGATAAAGTTCTTGTCTCAATTCGAGATGATAAGGATTACCCAGAAATGAGTCGAAGTACGTTATGGAAACTTTTAAAAGAAATAGGCTTCCGCTGGAAAAAAGAATCCCAGAAAGTCTATTTTATTAGAAAGAAGCTATATTGTCATATGGAGAAGACATTTTCTAAGAACCATAAAGGAAATGAGAAACCAAAAAAGAAAAATATTTTATCTTGATGAAACATGGATCAACGAGGGTCATACACCAAATAAATTTTTGGCAGGATGAAACTGTTACAAGTCAAAGGCACGCTTTTGTAAAATAACTTATCTACTGGTTTAAACCCACTATCAGGAAAGGGACGCAGGCTGATAGTAGTACACATTGGCAGTTCAGACGGTTTTGTTGAAGGTGGTTTATTAACTTTTGAATCAACTCGTACCGGTGACTACCATGAAGACATGATTGCTGATGTCTTTTAAGAATGGTTCGAACAAATGATAGATCTTCTTCCCAAGAACTGTGTAATAGTAATGGATAATGCAAGTTATCACTCCAGACTTATAGAAGGACTGCCCACAACCAAGTGGTTAAAAAAAGACTTGCAGAATTGGCTGAGTTCAAAAAATATTAAGTACCATCCCGGATCTATAAGAAAGGAACTTTATTCGTTGTGTGCCCTTCATAAAGAAAAATTTAAAAAATACGAAATCGATGTAATTGCCAAAAATCGTGGAATGACAGTACTTAGATCCCCACCATATCATTGTGAATTAAACCCGATTGAACTGGTATGGGCACAGATAAAGAGTGAAGTTTCAAGAAAAAATACCACTTTTAAAATTCATGATGTTAAACAGTTGTTTTTGGAGGCCGTAAATAATGTAAAACCTGAAAACTGGGAAAAGGCAGTAAATCACACTATTAAAGAAGAGGAAAAAATGTGGAGCTGGACAAAATTACTGATAAAATGATCGAGCCAGTTATTATAAATCTTGGTTCTGAAAGTTCATCTTCTGAATCTGATTTGGATTTGTAACAAGTAGCTGTAAGTTTTATATTAATATTTTTATTCATCTATTTAACATACCTTAGACGGTTTTATAAAACTCTTTTTCTCTTTTGTAATTTTTAAAAATTAAAAAAATGTGGAATTTTTTAAAAACCCTTTTTAATGTAGGCCAGTCAGTTCTAATATAGTATGTGATAAAAGAAGGTCACTTTTGTTTACATACACATAACACTTTATAACACTGAAATAATTCATTTATTTTTTACAATTATTCAAAGTAATTTTTCAATTAATCTTGAGCACGCCCATGGAGTGGTCGGAGGTACCAGTTAAAATTATGCTAATTACTCTCTCGTTCATAAAAATAAACTATAGCCACTTAAACTGACTAACATATACATAAACTAAGTTTTATTGTTTACTATTGTTTACTATTATTAAAAAATTGAATACAGTCCGTTTATAAACAACACTTATATTGACAAAGCTAATGTCATGCACTATAATTACATTTATTATGCGCAACATCACTGAAATGCGAGCCATTAGAATTTATGTCTAAAATCCACAACGTACTTAGCCTGTTATGGCAATTCATTATTATTTTTTTCTACTCTCTTACTATTATAGTAAATTGTATATTACCTACTATTTGGATGCTAAGTAAATACATCAAAATAGCAATACAACAAAATAACACAAATACAACAATACAACAAAATACGTACCTAATGACTAGCAATAGTAATAAAAAAAATTGAATTACTTTAAAGTTAAATCGGATTTGTATGCATTCTGTGATAAAATTATTCAATTAGCAAAATAATATTAAATTACTTTTTTGTGTTATTTGTGTACAAAAAATTATAATAATATAATATTTAAAAAACTATAAGAAGAAACTAGACGAAAATAAGTTGTTTAATAATTACAATCATCGTAGACATAAGGAAATTTCCAAACTATTTATTAAAGATTATTTATTGATACATACAAAAAACTGACATTACGAACGTGACTCTAGCAATATGTCCGATTAAGCATATCTATCTCTTAGTCATAGCACGTTTATGATTATGTGGTCATAGTATCATGGCTTCTTAAATGTTCTATACCGGTCGCTATTGCCAGTCCGAACTGTCTAGTGTATTTGGTAATTATTTTTTTGCAAAGTTAGTTACTTTTGACATACTAAAAGTGGCTGGAAATTACTATACAACCCAGCACACGTACTCATAGCCAATATTAATAGTAAATAAACTAAATAGTAAATAAAATAGAACTTTGCGAATTACCGACAATCAATATTTATTTATCTGCACAATATAATAAATGTTATGTTAAATTATAGCAACTAAAATATATTTTTTAAATATATATACTACCCAAAATTTGATGGGTTTAGTATACACTTTCACTATTTCGAATAATTCTTCTTTTTTTTAAGAAAGAAGTCTGCAATAGTAGTATACTTGAACTATTAATACTGAGAAGTAGGAATTGTTGTGTTATAGGTTTCCGACAATGAATCTGTTAAAATATGCCCGAGCTGAGCGAATGGGTATATCACATAAGCCCTGTAAGTCAGTTGGTCGAGTTACCAGGGAAACGAATTAAGAGACGTTATTTTGACAGATTAAAAATTATTAATCTGTCAGTGTAAATATAGTGGTAATTTAAATACAGATAAATAAAATGAGTTCATCGAATAGTTAAGATGAATTTAGTAGCACACCACCCAATATTTTAGCTGCGAACACTACAGAGAACCTATTACCAGAAAAATCTAGAGGAAGATATGAAAAGGTATATCAGCAAGTTATGGATTGGCGTACAACAAATAATGTAAATTCATTTTCTGAAAACATAATCTTGGCATATTTTGGAGAAATCGCTAAGAAATTTAAACCATTATCCTATTCTATGCTAAAAAGTGTTATACCCGAAATTGCAAGCTTATCTAAAAAGGCAATCAGGTTTTAAAAACAAAAAATCTAAAATTTTACATCCTGATGAAATAAACTTTTTTTTAAATGGAGCTCCTGATGTACAGTACTTAATAAAGGTATGTTATTTAAAAGTATAACATAAATGTGTATACTTATTTTCTTTTTTTTAAGGTTATTGCAATTATTGGAATATGTGGAGCTTGTAGGAAAAAAAGCTTAAAATTTGTGACATTGATGATTTAAGTACCATGTTATTGGTTAAAATTCCTGATACGAAAACCAAAATATGTTGATCTCTGTTATTTCCGGAAATTCTAAACAAATAGCCGAATATTTAAAGTTACCAGATCCCAAAATGTACACAGGTCACTGTTTAAGACGAACTTCTACCACTATTTTGGTAGATGCAGGTGGTGATTTAATGGCTCTTAAACGACATGGCGGATGGAAATCTTCAACAACAGCCGAAGGATATGTCGATGAGTCAATAAATAATAAGACGTCAACAGCTAATGTAAATATAAATTTAATTGAAAGTAATTTACAGACTAAAATAAATGACGGTTGCGTTTCGATTTAATTTGAGTCTCTTACCACTCCCTGACACGTGTTTCTGGGTCTACCCGTCATCAGAAGGAGTTTGTAAGAAGACTCAAACCAAATCAAAACGCACCGACTACTAAGGCAATTATAGTAAAAATAATTACCAGAGTATGCTACTAGAGGTCTCTAGTGAGGAAACATGAAGTTAAATATCGATAGCAATTAAAGTTCAGTAAAGTATTCAGTAAAGTATTCAATTATACAGTTTACTTTAATTGCTATCGATATTTAACTTAATTTACAGACCCTTACATGCACTGAAAATACCAATATTTAAAAAGAATACACCGTACAGTTTACGTCATCTCACCATTCACCACGTATTATTGAACAACCGCCAAACTCGGATAAGGGTATAGTTATAAATAATTGCCAAAATTTTTTAATTAATTAATATAAATAAATGTTTAATTTAAATTGTTCCCGAATTTTGTTAAATAAATAAAAGTTACTTATTATACTTTTTATTTTTATAAATGATAATAATCGTAGAAAAAGTATAGAACACAACTTGAGTTGTAAGCTTATTACATGCTTGTAAAATTACTGCGCTAGCCGCTACGCGCAGTAATTATGTAATATACTATTAAACAGAAAACTTCATTTTTTCGTTAAAATTTCAGTACAGTACAATAACTATACTGTTGTGGATGTTCCTTTCTTCCAATATAAGGGGAGAACCAAACTTCTAAGTAACTGATTATAAAAGACTCCGATTAATTAATCTTCGTCGAAGCAAAGCATAGTCCGATGTTAAAGTCATATTGTAGACTGCGAGTTTAATTATTTTTATTTTATGCGAGCACAGTTAATTTAACAATTTGTCTTGAACTATACTTCATCTAATTTAGATAACGACTTACGTCATTATCTACGTCAGAGATCGAAGTTGACATAGTTGCCAAAGTATAAAAAAATTCTGACTCCATTTTAAATCAAATAGGTCACATAATTATTGCAAAAGTATTACCATCTCTTTACAACGACTATTTAAATTTTTACGTGGCATTTTTGAAATAGAACACACTAATTTTGTTCTAAAAAAAACAGATTTTATTAAATAGGTAAAAATATAAAACAAGAAGTATTTACTTTAAAATTCAAAATAATAAAGTACAAAAAGTGTCAACACCGCAACTGTCAAAGAAGTGTTACCAATTTATGCCAAAATTTTACCTTCGTTCGATTACAGTTACAGTGTGTTCCGAACAAATGTTCTTGATAAAAACTCTTTATAATGGATTTATACAAATTAAATGAAACATATTATTGTGTATTTCTTTAAGTTAACATTAATAGAAATTTTTAAATATTATTTCAACGCGTATATAATAAAATATGTCTAGTTGCTGTAATGCCAGTGTACTCGGTAAAGTGATTCTAAAAAGAACACACCTAAACCCTAAATATTTCATGTTGGTATCATATGACGTCACAGGCTATGACGCCGATGACGTGCATCGTTATATAAATTAGATGAAGTGTAACTATGTTTAAATGACCACTTTGCTATGTTGAGTATGTACGGTTAATACGTAGAAATAGCGAGATACGTGCTAAGGTGAAATATGTTATTGTGCGTAGAACCAGATTCAAAAAAAACCTCGGACTGTTGACTAGAGAATTATGTGATTCTGAGAGTGTTAGATAAGTCTGAATGTATGTGGGAGAAAACCAGCCTTTTATAGAAACTTTTTAGGAGATTTTACAATCATTTTTTTATGGTTTTCCGGTTAATTAATTCAAAATCAATAAAATACTTTACCACCGAGTATTAACAAAACCTTTTAGTGAGAATAAAAAGATACAAAATACAGATGTAATATACAATAGGTGTATTAATTCCATATTTGTGTTGCTTTGCTAGAATATATAACCGAAAACTTCACCGGCGTCTAAACGGTATCACTATTTTGTTGGTACAGATTTTCTTGCCAGGAATAAAAATATTCTTAAACTTTTTAACTATACCCTTTTTCAAAGTAAAACACTTGCACGTCACGATTTATACAAAGTGACGTCACTTGTATATAAAATTTCCAGAACATCAACCTTATAGTTCAAATTTTCCTAACACAGTTAATAATACGAAACCCATACGGAACTGCTCGATCTTTCATAGGCGTCAACATGGTGCAATAATCAGAAAAATATAATCATCATATGAAATCGTAGGCTTCCACGGCCAGAGTCAGAATTATAGTTTATTCGTCTTCCGGGTTTGGACCGTGTCATTTGTGAGTGACCCAAAAGTGGGTTCATCTCGACGTTTCGCTACAATTGTATGTAGCTTCTTCAGGAGAACAAAGAAAAAGAAAAAGAAAAAGAAGACAGGAAGATGGGTAGTTAGCAACGGTAACTCAGTTACTCAACGCAACCAGAGGCGAATACTAACTACCAAGATGGGCATTTGGTCACAGTAACTCAACTACTCAAGGCAGCCAGAGGTGAAAACCAAATGCCAGGACAGGGATTCACGTCCAACAGCTCAGAACACTAACGCGTCGAGAGGCGGGGAGTGAATCCCGGATTCTTTCTTTAAAAGGGCAAAACCATCTACTTAAACATTCTTATTTGATGTGAGCCATTTGGCACGGTTTTTTAATCTATTTAAATAATCTTTACTTCATCTTTGCCAGCAGAGTTGTCAGATTTTTGTACCGTTTCTAAAGGTTTAATCTAGATGATGGTATTTTACTTATATTGAAATCAGAAATTACCATGTGTAAGGGCTGACAAATCTCTAGGCTGATAGGGCATGGCACAGAGGGAACGAGAATTGAGGACAGCCTTTATTTGGGTCAATATCAACACTCTGAAGAATTCTTCGAAAGTAAGTATTAGGTTTCCAATAAGCCTGTGGAGATGGTACTTTCCACTTTTAATTACGCTTTCCCAGATTTCACCATGATGAGAGACGTGAGGAGAAATAAATTTACAAGCTATATCTGAAGGGACCAGAAAATCCATTATTGAAGTTTATGTATTATTGTTCTTTACAAATTGTGCAACTTCCTTCAATTAATTTTTTGAGCCAAAAGAAATGGACACATACTTTTCCTTTATGGTCCTTCGAGTAGGATTTTATGTTGGGCGCCACAAACCCTTGTGGCAACCTGTCGAATTGGCTTACAGGATTTTAATGGTTTCAGGTTGCTGATTCTTTATTTTGCCTCTTGTGAGGTGAAATTATACACACCAATACACAAAACACTTGTTAACTTATATACTTTGTTCTCATATCGAACGAGTGAGCGAGAGGCAGAGAGAGAGGGAAATTGAGAGAGAGAGAGAGAGGGAAAGGGAGAGGTTATGTGATGAGACTGCTAGAGCGAGGAAGCGGAAGGCGGAAGTTGTAAGTGTTTTTTTTATAAGAAAGCGGAAGATATCTGAATGTCAATGAATGGCATTTGACAACATAAATTAATAAGCTTATATCCAACATTTTGTAAAAGGAAATACTACAAGATTGCCTAAAATAATTGCAGCTGATAAGAAAATACACTAACGATATGACGGGTGATTTTTTCCACACGATTGCATGTAGATAAATAATACCTACTGTGTTTTACTTATTAACTACCTTTGTAGAACTGTTCGAGTACAATACAATTAAAATTTGTTAAATTTTTATCATCATATATTTATTTTAACATATTTTTACACCTTTTTGCATTTGCTGAATTTTAATTTGTTTTTTCACCTGGTTCATCATAATCTCGTGAACTTACTATCTCTGTTATAGAATCATTGCCATTTTCAATAAATTCAACAACACTTTTTTTGGCTATTTAACGATTTTACTGTATACTAATCAAAAACAAGTTCACTCCACTTTAAATGATTTCCAGTGCATAAAACCAAAACCGTCAGACGAGCATTCACATAAAAGTACCGAAAATTCATTCTATTGGCGAATTGCCGAAACTGTTCCGCCAGAATTTACAACCTCTGGAATAATTTCTCAACCAAATTCTTGAAAAATGTCAATTATTTTTAAGAATTATTATTCCTAATTTACATTTTGTTTTTTTTTATGCCTTTAAGTACATTGGTTCGATTTTAAGAGAAATAATGAACTTGTTACAATAATTGTATTTATCGATGCAAACAAATTAAACGTAACTAATTTAAAGAAATATACCTAATTTTTACAACAAATTTAAAAAAAAATTGCACTATTATGACAACATTATTTAAACCACTTATGAAAATACAATTAAAACTAAATTTAACATTTTCGGCGTTTTTGCTCCCAGCGATTTTGCTTACACGTTACCTAACGTAGATAAATGAGATTTACCACCCAAAACATTCACACTGTATGAAAAAGGATCGATTCTGATGTTAAATGATATGGGTATTATGTGTGATTATGTATTGAACTTACATTTTCGCTCTTGAATTGATTTCTACTAGATAATCATTGCGGTCGCTCCTAGGTTGATTTCCTGCAATAGGAAAATACTCGATTTATTCATTGAATCAATACAAAAGTAATCAGAGGTAATTTGTGAACAATAAAGACTATTGTTATATGGATTTGGATTAAAAAATAATATATCCCACTCCTTATTTCACTGCCATGAAAAGTATTTTTCATATTATATCATGAACAGGGTAATAAGGACATGATCTAAAAGATATGATAATAAAAATGTAAACTGTACTGCACAAAACCTCAAAAAATTGCATATATACAAAGGTAAAAGGTCCAATTAAGTTTAAATTAGAAATCGAATATTAAGATCAAAAATTAAAATATACTCGATTTGCCGATCTCTGTCCCAACTGTCTAGTAAATTTAGTAATTATTTTTTGCGACGTTGGTGAAATTTTGATTGACTGGAAGTATTTGGAAATTACTATACAACGAAACACGCGCACTTATAGCACATTACTTCTTTAGATTTTACTACATTTCAGTGGAGAGTGGTGTGTACTGCTAACTTAACAAGTTAACTGCCAAGCTATATTTTAAAATGAGACCTACAGAGCCACTGAATTTTGACAATTGTTACTGTTAGATATTTAACGTCATTGTTGTAATTTTTTTAAAGAAATCAATAACTAAAAAAATGTCAATATTTGACTGCCCGTCCGATGGGAATGACACGTCGTAGAAAGAGTTTGAAAATTACTTCACGCCACGTCGGTCCAACTTCGTAGGTAGTGGGGAGAGAGTTTTGGCATGCCAGATACCACGCAGAGATTTATTGTAGTTGGAGTAGTTGTCGATACATGTTGAATCACTCAAATAGTTCAGTATTTGCTGTTACATAATGAGTTCACGAAATACATGAGGTTTATCAGATTATAACTTGAACAAATACTAAATAATATGTCCGACGAAGAAGATGAACATGAATTTGGCGATGATTCAATTATAAATTGTAATTATGAACCTAATTCCGATAAAATCGCTGATAATTCTGGAGACGAACTGAAAACGTAAGTTGGTTTACTAAGTATTATATATTTGTTGTACCCATTGTTATAATATTTGTAGTCTAAGATAAATTCGCTGAAAATGTTTAACATTTTATTATTTTAGCACTAAACACACAAGATAATGAGAATCATCAGAATATATCGGCTTGTCATGTTGGAATATCAAAGAGAGTAGATGATGATTGGACAGAACCAAAACTTTTTTAATTGAAGATGGTGTTAACAGTGATGTAGCTGGCATGCTAGCAATGGGTAAACCAGAAGAATTCTTTTCTTTGGGTTTGATAGCTTGAATGGGACTTAAAATTACCGTAAAATTACCAACATTGTCAGACTATTGAACTCAAGAACGCTTGTTCAAAATGGGTTTTGCATCAAGTGTTATGCCTAGAAATAGGTTTGAAATTCTATTGCAAATGGTTTACTTTTTAAATAATGAGCAATGTATAGAAGGAGACAGATTACACAAAATAAATAATTTATTAAACTTAATTTTGAACAACTATCAATCTGTTTACGTACCTGGAGAAATTTTGTGTGTGGACGAATCAATGGTTTCTTTTAGAGGTAGGCTGCTGATGAAACAGTACAACAAGTAAAACGACATAAATATGGAATTAAAATTTTGAAATTGTGTTGTAAAAATAGTTATACATATAATTTACAAATATACGCTGGTAAAACCTTAAACAAGAAAAAACTACCCCTTTAGACATTGTTGTAAAGCACACTAATATTAGATACGAATGGAACTGTTTGTACTGATAACTGGTATACCAATAACAATCAGACGAAACAAAAAAATTAATACCAAAAGATGTAGCTAACAAAAAACTAAAAGGTAGGTGAAGTAGCAGCTATGGAGAATGGACAAGGATAATTTTTCTAAATTGGAGGGATAAACGCAATGTGTTAATGCTGTCAACTTAACATTCGATTAAAACTGAAAATGTACAAAGAAAATAAGTAACTTCTTGAGTAAAAACCAAAAATGGTTATAGCTTACAATAAGGCAAAGCTGGAGTTGATTTATCAGATGTTATGACAGCATAATTACAGTCCACTACGTAAAGAAAAATAGCAATAGAACTATTACTAAATACTTCAAGTAGTGAATGCATACATTTTGTATGTGCAGGTTACCGGTAACAACATAATAACAAAGCTTGCTGGAACGACATGGGGTGCCACTGCGGATACACTTCGAACCTCCTCACTGGCCCTGGTGTATTCTGTCGCTGAATACTGCGCACCGGTATGGCTAAATAGCGCCCATGTCAACAAGATTGATGTTCAACTAAATTACACTATGAGAGTAATATCTGGTACTATTAAATCAACTCCACTAAGATGGCTTCCAATTCTGAGCAATATAGCACCTCCAGATATTCGACGAACGGCAGCACTTGTCAGAGAATATCAGAAAATCATGGCAAATAATCGTCTGCCAATTCACCAGTATATTCCGCACGCCGCACGAGACCAACAAAGACTGAAGTCCAGACGACCCCCTGTCCAATCCGTTCAGGGAATGGGTGATAGCTACAATAAGCAAGAGCAGTGGACGAAAAGATGGATGCCAACAACAGAGCCAGACGTCATCAAAATAACAAGTACGTCGATCGGCTTCACTGGATCAAACCTGCCACGCCCTATATGGACAAAATTAAATCGCATACGCACGGGTCATGGCAAATGTGCCGATTCTCTATACCGATGGGGTCATGCAGAAAGCCCACAATGTGATTGTGGATCCCCAAGACAGACCATCCAACACATCATGGCGGATTGCCCAATCCGCAGATACAGCGGAGACCTTCAAGATTTTGCAGAGTGTTCTCCTGGTGCAATTGAATGGCTGTGCAATTTGGACATTAATATTTAATATTTAACTTAGATTACTATTCCAATTTGAACATAATTATTATCTAAATACTACTTTTATCGTATTGTAATTATCCATACTCTAAATAAAAAATAAATAAAATAACCGGTAACAAAATAAAGTTTTAAGCTTCATTTTTATATCATTTTTATTAAAAAAAAATATTTACCATTAAAAATATCCCATGCAGGTTTGCACAGACCCTGCTGGGTTATTACATACGTTTTGTACACACTTAGTTATGCCGGTTCCTAGTAAGCTGCATTAAAAGTAGGATTGTAGTGATGGCCCATCGGACCGACGCGACGTGGCATGACGGAATATTGTGGTGGCCAGTTCCACCACACTAAAACTACGTTTTAAAGATTTAAAATTCTTTTAATTTATTATAAAGAATCGATTACTACAACAAAAAGGGAGATTGAAATAGCAAAGTATTGTTGATAAACACAGATCTGACTTAAATTTTTTTTAATGATATATATATATAAATATATATATAATATATAATATATATATGTATATATATATATATATATATATATATATATATATATATATATATAAGGATCACTCAGACGAGTGGTGGGGGTTCTTATATCGGTCTCTAGGGGAGAAATAAAAGACAAAGTTGATAGGCTACTTTAATCTATTTTGAAGACGTTTCGCTTTCGAGTTTGAAAAGCATCATCAGTTCATCTAAAAAATTACAATATGAGAACCACACAATCATGGAAACGATGTTAATTGTTACCTTAAAAAGACATGTAGCAGTCAATGTTATTAACAATAATGTGAATGAAACTAAGTAAATGGACATAATACGCTGATTTTGTATAAACAATTAAGTAACTAACAACATATATGAACTTATAAAATTAGCACAGCAAATGACCATGTGGTCTAAAAGTAAATTAAATGTTATTTAATGTTAATTAGTGAGAAAGAACCAAGAAAATCATAGATAACTTCCAACTATTTAATGAATATTAAGCTTTGATTTTAACTTGGCGTTAAATGAAACAGAACGAACTAAACCGCGAAAGAACAGCCAACCTTAAGGTCAAAAATACTTTCGACAGATCAACAAGGTGTAGGTACCAACCCAAATTTTGGCGGTCAATTAAAGTTTAAATGAGTTTGGATGACTACCGGTTGCAAAAGACAAAACAGTGACAGAAGTTGGTAGTGTAATAGCAACTCCCCTCACTAATCAGCCCATATTTACAAACAGGAGATTTTCATTCAACCTCATAAGTATGTAATAAACGTTAATCATTATGGCTAGTTAAAACAGCCACAGGTGGTTAACGACTCGTCAATTTCCAAACAGCCTAAGGTTCAATGTACTTGGAACTGTGATTTGCAAAGGATTCTATGAATCAATTACAATATTTGTATTATTTAAGTATAAAATTGTTAACACTAATCAAAGTAATCAGTGTATGGAAATGCAATGTAAGTTGCATATGTAATAGTAAATTAAGTAAAGAATATTAAATTATTTTATTAAGATATTCATGTATTTTATTTCTATTTTATGTATATAAATTATTTATGAAAAATGGAAAAATGTTCAAATAGTACACCTAATATGACCATAATATAGTAAAAAGATCACGAGGCCTAATTCTGCAAAATTAAAGCATGATATATTTGGCTCAAGTTACTTATGTCAGTTCTCTTATTCAAAGTATTAGGTGTTTTAGTATTGAACACATTGAAAAAACTGTCTTTTAGCTAGATTGCGTTCAGTGGCAAGGATCTTAACTTCATTGAAATCCACTTAATGTTTGGTATTTATCGCGTGTTGTGCCAGGGCAAAAGTGTGTTTTGATAAATTAATGTCACTACGATGTGAAAGTGAGACGACCTTTTAATGATCTACCAGTTTGACCAATGTAACATAAATCGCAATTAGCGCATGGAATTTTATAAATTGTGTTCACTTGTTCCAAAGTGGACAAGGTGTTTTTAGTTTTTAGAGAACAAATTTCTAACAGTTTTGGCATTCTTAACAGCAATTTTAACAGGTATAGTATTTGGTTTATACAATTTAATAAGCTTCTCAGTAACTTGAGGAAATAAGGTAAAGAAGAATAATGTGTGATAGTA